GGCCAGGATCAGGGGAGTTTCAGGATGAAGGGAGTACTAAGGGAAGCCACCCTTAGCAGAAAGAAGGCTCATGCAATCAGCTGTCAGATCTCAGCAGATGGCCCAGACAGAAATGGACTAGTGGGGCCTGAAGTGTGTAGTGCCACTGAGAGGGTCACCTGGCTTCTGGTACCTCTACCTATTTTGTTTTTTTAAGTGCATTGGTGAGAGAGTCAGAACCACTGGAACTTGAATTACAAACAGTTGTGAGCTGCCATGTGGATGATGGGAATTGAACCCAGGTCTTCTGGAAGAACAGCCAGTGCTCCCAACCGCTGAGCCATCTCTCCAGCCCTGGACCTGCTTTTATACTACTCCTAAGGCTCCCTCCAAGGACACCTGCTCCTGAGAACCATGCCCAGTCTGCCAAGCTCTCTGCTGCTGGCCTTCTCCAAACTTCCTCCTCTACTCCCTCCACAAAGGGTATGATCCCTTTTCTGCGCCCATCTGGCTTGACAACTGAACATGCACGGCTATAAACATCCAGACCAGAGGCCAGCACACTGAGATGGGACCTACCTGGCAGACAGGCGCACTCGTGGGTGGTATCTCCTGTAGGGCGGCAGGTGCCCCCGTTCTGGCAGGGTGAGGGGCTGCAGGGCACGTAGGGTAGTTCACAGTGGGGACCAGTATGGGTGGCACGGCAGACACAGCGATAGGAGCCGATCTCATTGTGGCAGGTGCCTCCGTGGCGGCACAGCCCAGGGTTTTGGCTGCACTCGTTAACATCTTGCCTGCAGGTGGGGCCATGGAAGCCAGGTGGGCAGCCACAGATGTATGAAGACTCAAAGGGCAGGCACTGGCCACCATTGGCACAGGGGTTGGAGGCACATGGGTCAGCTTGCTGACATGACTTTCCTGGGGGGTGGAGGGAAGAGAAGGTCAGCTGTAGCCAGGGCCTCCCTATGAGCCCATGGCAGATTTGGACATCATGGAGGCACCAACAAGGGATGATTATAAGTACCTGCTGCAAAATGTGAACATCTTTCTACACACAGAGGACTGGAGATTACAAGAGACCAAGTGACTGCCCAAGGACAGAGATAGGAGTAGGAACGGGTAGCCTAAAATTTGTACCTAGCTGTCTCCTGGACCCCACATATATAACCAATGGCAGCTCAAAGCATCCTCGCAAGGAGAGAGTAAGACCAGGGCTGCAGGAGGGCTCCCCCTTTGCTCACAGAAATAGTGAGGGTTCGGGGTTCTGGGATAGTGCAGCCAAAAACCAGACAGTTCAGGGCTGGAAAAGGGCCAGAGTTCCTAACCAAGATTTTTCTAGATAGTCGATCTCTGCTTATCTCTGAGCCAGGAGAAAGTGTGGCATACCAGAGTATCTCAAGTCAACATGGATAGTATGGTATCCTGGACTATTATAAGGGTCCCAGCCATGAAGCTCACAGCCTTCTTACAGCCCTTACCTGACCATCCTGGGGGACAACGGCACTTGTATTCTGTGAGAGTGAGCAGGTCACAGGTGCCCCCGTTGCGGCAGGGGTTGGCTAGGCAGGCATTGTCCAGAGGTGTCAGGCAGAGGGGCCCAGAGAAACCCAGGGGACAGCTGCAGGCATAATTCACAGTGCCACCATGTTCCACAACATGGCATGTTCCAGCATTCTTGCAGGGTGTGCTCAGGCACGGATTGGGGTCCTGGCATCGTTGGCCCACGAAGGGACCGCTGCAGCTGTTGGCAGGCATAGAGGGCAGTTAGTTCCCCAAACCTCCTTTCTGTCATGGCCACAGCTATTCCCACCCTGGGCAACAGGTACAACTGGAATCAGGTTCTAGAACAGAGGTGCAGTGGCTGCTTGGTGCTTGGGCAGAGGTTCTTGAGATGACGAAATTTCTGGAGCGTGAACCAGTACCTCGGAGGCGCTCACTTTAAAGCAGGTACTTTCATGTACTAAGTGAACTTCACCTCAATAAAAAGAAATAATAACAACTGCTAATTGGGGCCAGGGTAGAGACAAGACCAGCTTAAATTTCAGACCAGGAAGATTTCAAACCTGTGGGTCTATACTTGCAGAGAGCCATGGAGAAGGGGCCCCTGCAGGCTCAGCAGAGCCCCCAAGGAGGGGGGCACTCTGTGAAACTCTCATTTGGGAGGCTGATCTGCTTTTCTCTCCCAGCTTCTGTCATGAATATGCATCATCTGGGTAATAAAAGAGTTCACGGTTCCTTCGACTTTCAAACATCAATAGCACAGTAAACGCGGGAAGCGGAGCAGACTGGAGAGTGTATGCGCTTTCTTTCTATTCAGTTCCTGCCCTGTAGCCAGGGGGCTATGCCAGGATGCAGACTGGCGCCCACCCTCTACAACTCAGCTCCCAGACACAGGTTCCTCATATCATACTCCTGGCAGCAATGGCACCCCCTCAAGGGACAAATTAAATTTCCAGACACAGGTTCTCTGTACGCCCAGCAGTAATAGCGCCGTTCTCTAGCCCTCCTCAGCCCTTTGTGGGCCCTCTGGTGGGCTGAGCCTGCCCCATCTCCACACAGGTGGGGAGTTCCTGTCTCCATGCTTAGACTCACTGGTTCCCGGAAGGGACAAGCTCAAGGTCCACCACTGCCCCAGCCACTGCCTTAACCACCTGCCTGCCATAAATTCCCAGACCCCACTCCTGCCCCACCTCCAGGCTCCACACTCCCAGAGAAGGCTCTGGGAGCAGCCAAGCCAAGCTCTTCCCAGAGGCAAAGGCTCTGAGGCAGAACGTGCTGGCTGACAAAGCAGCCCCCATGGCGGGGTCACAGCCAGGTTCTGGGTAGACACAGCCCCTACCAACACAGCCTGCCCACTGGGACAGACCATCCCTTGATCCCCAAGCACCCAAAGCGGAGGCTGTAGCCTGCCCCACTCCCCACCTCCAGTGCCAGCCAGCCTGCTGGTCTCCACTTGCTTCTCAACTGCTATTTATAACCAAACCTCTATGTGCGGGTGGCCCCAGGAGAGGCCTCCCCACTAAGAGCTGCTGGAGGCAGCTTGGGGCCTGGGGTCAGGTATCTCAGCAGAAGTACTGGGAGGCATCTGTCCTCTCTGAAGCCTTTCATCTGTGTCCATGGCTTGGGTATGGAAGACACAAAATGGCCACTCCGGCGACCATCTGTTGCCAGAAGCCAAAAGTCTCAAACCAACTGGCTTAAAGAAAACAAATCACCCCCTCCCCCAGGGAGTTAACTCAAGCCTTGGTTCCTGCACAGCATGGGAAGTGTGTGTTTGGTGTGTGTGTGTGTGGCAGGGGGAGACATCTGGCTCCTCCTGCATGGGGTATCCTTGAAGGGCACCTCCCCACCAGTGACCGGCCACTGAGATTCACACCTGCTTCTCTGGGGCACCTAGACTCTGGCAGAGCCACACTTGGGGAGCATAGGAGGCGGACACTGCCTTTGCTACTCATGGATCCAGTTACCAACCGGCTGGAGAGGCCGCTGGGAGCCTGGGATCTGCAGGCTGAGGCTGGCCCCTAGAAGCAGCCCTCGTCTCTGGATCAATGCCCCTTTGTCGGGCAGAGTTGGCCTCAGCCCACTTGGAGAAAAGGTTTTTTTCTTTCCCAGCCACTGGTGAAGCCGCAGGGGAGGGGGTGTTGAGGGACAGAGGGAGCTTCATCTTCAAAGCCAAATGGAGCTGCCGTCCACCCATCTCTGCAGAGTAGGGGAGGAGGGAGCTCTTGGCCAGTGAGACCAAGGCTCCAAGAGGCGGGAAGATTTCCTTGGGTGGGAAAATGGGGCAAGCCCAATGCCATTTTGGGTCTCCAGCCCTCAAGCAACCCCCTGTCAGGTTTCTTAAGGTAAAGACACTGAATGTAGCCAAAGGCTTCAGATCTGCTCACACTCCTCTTCCCCTGCAGCCATGGGCTATGTTCTCTATAACACCCTGAATAGGAACCACAATGGGAGGACTGGGGGAACCCGCCTAAACGGGATGTACACTTGCCAGCGCGGCTGTGTTCTGCTGGACCAGCAAAGGGGGAAAATATGGCCAATAAATCAGGCGCCGGCAGCATGGACAAAGGGCATCAGGGAGCAGGTGCGTCTGTGGAGGGGACAGCTGCTCCTGCTGGGTGCGGCCAGACGCCAACCCCAGCGGGTGGGGCATGAGCTGGGGAGCTAGTGGCCAGGGAAGCTCCTCCGTGGGGGAATGTGGTGACTGAGAAGGCCCATTGTCCGCCGCACTGCCACCATTGGCTTGGGAACACCATAGTGCAGGCATGTTGCCTAGCTGGGCCTACCAGGGTGAGGCCACTGTCCACCATCACCAACATACCACAGCTGGAAGACCAGCAAAACTAACTGGATGGACCATCCCTCAAATGCCTGGAGCCAGGTGGCAGGGTCTAGCTCAGGGGCAGCTGGGGAGAGGGGGAAGCTGGAAGGTCCTTCTCCTCTGTCTGTGCCCTGCCTGTCTGACCTCTGTACCACCTAGCCACAATCTTTCCTCACAGCATTCAGGTGTCCCTAAGATGGTAGAAGGGATCTTGAGGTCACAGCTGGGCTACAGCCAGGGCCGCAATCCCCAGCATCAGTGGCCATTTGTTCCTCGATGCTGTGGTTGAGAGCAACAAAAAGGTACCTAAACCCTGCATGGGAAGCTGTAGCCAACAGTGTACACTCACTGGGAAGTCCTTAAGCACCAGATCAGAGCCTCCCTGAGGGACCTAGGATGTCCTCTGCTTCCCCCGAGTCACCTCCTGTCAAGGTAGCAGAAGGACCCTTCCAGGACTGAAAGGTGGGACTTCCTCAGGGCAGGAGTGTGTACTGTCAACAAGATGAGAATTGCCTGTGCTCTGCAATGCTCTGCCACTCAAGGCTTCCCTCAGTGGGAACCTGGCCATGGCAGGTGCACCCTCTTTACTTCCTTCTTGAGGCTTCCTTAGGGAACCTACTTCTTTCTCCTCTTTGCTTCTTCTACATCACATACCAAGGCCTGAGGTGTGACCTGTCCCACTGTGGCTGGCTGCAGGTGAGTGGCAGGCAGGCTGGGGCCCAGGAAGAGGGCGGGCTTCCGCAGATGCAGTGGAGTACAAATGGCCCCTGTGCCTGTCATCCCACAACTGCTGCCTGCGCTTTGTTGGCGGCTTCAGTATTTCCACTGTGCTGCCTCCCACCGCCCTGGCAGCGCTGCTCCATAGAAATGTGATTCCCCAAAGCATCCGGAGGCAGATGTTGCCGTGGCCTCTCACCCGGGACTAATTCTAAATTGTGCTGTTTTCCTTTCCAAACTACATGGCCATCTGCCACCCCCAGGGGACAGATGACAGCTCCTCCACCCCAAAATGAGGAGGGAGCAGAGGGACTGTGGTGGGAGCTCCTGAGCTCCTGCCCTTGATGGGTTTATGGTCAAGTAAGGCTGGGGAAAGGAGTAGAGGGTCTACTAGAGATGACTGCGGGTGGGGGTCTCAATGCTGGGGACCCTTCATTGGCTTCCCAGAATCTAGCAGCCAAGGGAACTTTCAGGTGAGAGAAAGCATTTCCAGAGGCGGGTGGGACTTGGGGGACCCTCCCAGCTCTGCTTCAGCTGCTACATAGTGAGATGAAACACTCAGTGTAGCCTCAGTTTCACAAGAGAGCTGTGTCTGTGTGTGTACCCACGTAAGCATGAGTGTGAAGGGTGAGAGGTGGCTGTTGAAGCAGGCACCAACAGATCCAAGATGCTGAGGGACTGTCATTCTGGGTTGGCTAGGTTTGATTCACAAAGGTGTGGTCCTGTCCCTTGGGGGACACATTCATTGCACAGGTAAGAACTCCCATCTGAGGACTGGAAGGCAGCACAGGCCTCTGTCTGAGCACCAAGATCCCTGCTTATTCTTCTCTGGGGCCAGGGGCCTGCAGGGAGGCATCTGATCCCCTGTGCCTAGAGTACACACCAGATCTACGATCCAGAATGAGAGTAGAGGCCAGCCTCCCCACCCAGTGCATTTCTGTACACCTCAGTCCCCCACACCAATAAGAGTATCTGGCACCAGGTGATGGTGGAGGAGGGAGCCCCTGTCTTCATCCACCCCTTAGTCTTCCCTACCCGTGTCTAGAGCTGCCCAAGTATAACCAAGACCCTTGTTCTGCAAGCTCCCACTCAACTAGTGGTGGCCATGCACTTGTACCTCAGGGATGGTTCAATGTAGAAGAAATGTAGATTTTGGGGGGTTGGAGAGATGGCTCAAGCGGTTAAGAGCTGCTCTTCTAAAGGACCAGGGTTTAATTCCCAGCACCCACATGGCAGTTCACAACTGTCTGTAGCTCTAGTTCCAGGTGATCTGACACCCTCACACAAACATATGCAGGCAAAACCCCAAATGTACAGTAAATAAAGGAATCAAGAAAGAAAGAAAGGAAGGAGAGAAGGAAGGAAGGAAGGAAAGAATGAAGGAAGGAAGGAAGGAAGGAAGGAAGGAAGTTAGGTAGATTCCCTCCCCCCAAAGCCTGACTTTGTTCTGTTCAGCTAAAACACAGTAAGGCTGGCCGCCTGCCACCCAGCTTTCCCACAATGGGTCCCAAACCAGGGCTACCTCTCACTCAAACAGCCCACCATGTAGGGTTTTCCCAGCCCCATCCTTGGCAAAGCCTTCTGGAAGCAGGAGAGAGGTTCTGGGACCTCAGTCCTTCCCTGAGTAGAGGCCAATCGAAGTCCCCCCAAATCCCAGTGCCTTGCAGAAAGAAGGTACTCACAGAGGGCCTAGCAGATTCCCT